GACGAAAGAGTGATTCAAAAATGTAAAAGAGACAGACACAAAGGTAGAAAAAGGGCGAGGTGAGTACCACGAAAGTAGTCGAATATGACATACACTGGAGTGGTGGTGGTTTGGAGTCAGAAGTCAACTGCCGGTTAATAGACTTTTTTGCCGTGTGAGTAAACGTTGCCCATGGTGCACCACGTGGAGGTAAGTCTATCACACACCCCTCTTACGCGAGCATTGTTTAATAAAAATGCCTACTTAAATAAATAAAGTAACCGAGATTTTTACATTTAAGGTTGCCGTTGAGACGGAGGCAGGCACAGTTACGCGTGTGTCAACTACTCAATCTCTTGGTACAACTGCGATCTCCAGCAACGCTTCGATTTCGAATTCCACTTCTTCGACAACAGCAGCAATAGCTCAGATTGATTTTACCAGCAATACCACTGACCAACAACTTCAACTTGAATGCCAAACGGATGAGGCAGAGGACCCAAAATCTCAACAAATTGTTGTATCTATGAGAGAAGACAGTCGGACTTCTGATGTTTCCCATATTGGTGTAGATTCACGACCTGGTGCTGTGCCCGGCTCAAGGCGTCTTCATTTACCCGCTACTGGACGTCTTGCGTCATATCGAGCTAGCGTTCCGGCTTCTACGCATACTAATGCCCACGCGGGTATTTCAAAACAGGTCAATGCTCCAGTTTCAGGTGTCGAATCGACTGGAGTTTCATCACCTTCCACGTTTGACGGTTCCATAGAGAGGTGTGTGGGTCCAACAATGCTTCAGCAGTCGATTGAGAGATTGCCTAAGGAATCGGTGTTATCTTTGGTCTCAGCAGCTGTTCAAACATCGATGGAGGCTTCAGAAGTTGAATCCCCTGGGCAGATTGAACAATCAGATTCACGTTTTGCGGAAGTCGAAGCCGAAGTGCTTAGGTTGAAGAAGGAGAGAGAAAAAGCTGCTCAGCAAGTTGAATCTCTCACAGCAAGATTGAGGGAGTTGGAAGCGGTCTGCGAACGGTTAATGGAAGAGAATGTGCGTTTCTTCTGCTTATGCGTACCACTTATTACGATTTCTTTTTTTGAAGTAGTTTATTTATTTACTTCAAGCAATTATGGTTACAAGTTAGATAACTGGAGGCTCTATTGTGTTTAGCGAATATGGCGCCAATGTATCCTCTTAATTCGTTTGTTGCATGTATAAAGTAGGGAATATGCATTTGCAAATGAAAGTATTAAACTTTTTCAAACCAACTTTTTACCAACTTAAGGAAGCCTATTTCTCTATCACAATTCGATATAGAGGAGTCAGATATGTCCACGAAGCTGTCTAAGAAAACACTCAGTATGTCCAGTATCTGGGTTGGTAATGCAAAATTGAGAAAGGAATGTCAGTAACTGTTTTCTATTCAAGATAAATGGCCACTCCTGGTAACTTGACAAGTTTCTATTTATATAAATGACGATATTGGCTATTTCAAGTGGGACATGAAATTTAGAGCAGAGGCTGGCTCGTAGCGCTGAAATAGTTTTGAAATTACTATTTCACTATTCCAAAGATAAGGAGTTCTATTTGTTTCTTCGCAGACGGTATCTTCATTAACTATTGCTGTGATCTTAGATTAAGCGGCCTTCTGTATATCCGGCCTACTGCTGATTGCGTATTCTGACTGACCTGTTAATTTTTTATGGTTAGTTCGTTTATCTCCGTAAATCTGATAGGTCAGGTGTAATTAGTTCTTATAAGCGTGATTGTCAAGTGTATAGTATTGTCTTCATGCCTTGCAGAATGCCTTGAAAGCCGCATTTTCCGCTGGAATGGTAAAAACCCATGAAGCTGCTACCCGTTCGTCGCCAGGCAATAGGCAACTAACTCCACCAGTTGACCTCAAAAAAGGCGCCACATCTTCAGCCATTACTGCCACCGAAGGTGAAGGAGAAAGAGCTGCAGAGGAGTTTAATGTCGACGTCACCTCCGAGGTCTCAGAAGACAATTCCGATCTGTCTGAGGACGAGGAAGATGGTGAAGGCTACACAAATGGCAACCTTCACGGTCAACCCAAATCACAATCTGCCATCAAAGGGAGCAAACGAACGAATGGCTCCTCCAGTAACTATGCCGTCGGGAGTCAGTGCCTTGACTCTGGAATGCTTCTTCGACAAGGAATCTCACTTTGGGGTAGGTCGACATCACCTGCTGATGCGACAACCGTCGAAGTGACAGCCACAACGTCGGCAAACTCAGGACAACCTGTCACTGCTCCACAACCTCAATCCTCTACGGTGAAGCAAGTTGGGCCTGGAGCAGTGAGATCGTATGTGAATTTACAGAATGCGAAACCATCGTCGGCACGGACTCCAATCGGGAAAACTCAACCATCCTCCTCATCTCCTGGCGGTGGTCTACGTAAGTTAATACTTAGTTTAGCTTCACTTCCACTCGAATAAAGAGGTTGATGGGATCTTAGAAGTTGATTTTGATTCGATATTAACTGTATCCGTCCTGACTTCTACTAACTCGATTTCGAAAAGTGCATGGCCATAAGTGTTTGTCCGTTGACTAATATCAGATGGGGTGTGTGTGTGGGTGTGCGTGTTGTTGGTGACTTTTTACTTCGTTGACCGTCTCAAATCCCCAGCGGTCTCGCTTCTCCTTACCCTCCTCTTCCCTTTGTCTTATTTCTTTGTGTAGAGGATGCATGTCAGCAGGCGCCAGATGACTGCTTGGACAGCCACGGCCGTTCTTTGGCATTCCAATTCCAAATATGGTTTTAAGCATATCCCTCACTCCAATCACACACATGCCCCCCCCCCCCCCCCCCCCCCCCCACCTATACTTAAGCTTCTTAACTCTCTTCCCTCCCTCCCTCCCCCCTCCCCGCCCCACTTTTAAGCTTGAATGACTTGGCAAAACTATCTACTCGCTTTTCACTTCATAAAAATCGCTTTTTTCTTTTGGCCAGAAACTGAAATATCGCACGTGTAAAAACTGGCTTCTAACAGCGGTGGTGGGGAGTTGAGAGGTGTTGGATCGTGTTCCTGTTAAATGATATTGCATACCTTCATGGCAAACACCTCCAACTTCGTTAAAACAAAAGATACGGGCTATTAAGATTGTGATATACCTGTTGACCTCATCGGTTTCCAATTTCTAGAGATGGTTTCAAATAAGCAGCACTCTAGCTTCATTCATGTTAGACGTTCTTGTCATGTGTGAGCATTGAATGGACCTAAACACAAGGAGCGCAGAAGACCGCATTTGGCGTTTTTAGTCACGTCTATTCTTCGGAAAGTACTTCTATCGTGATTTTTCTTATCTTGCTGTCTCCACGTGCATTCTTTTGGGTATTGTTGCTTTATTCGTTTTATTAGCACGAATTTTCTAACAAAACACGCTTTATTCTCGAATGGTTTTTCATAAAAATTTTATTATTAAACTGCCCTCGATGGTATGTATATATTACACATGAATTAAACTTACATGAAGCAATGACGCGCTCTTGTTGATGCTTATAATTGGTGTGTTTTCGGTGTTGTCGCCAACATTCAGTGTGCGAGAAAATTCCACCCTCTCTGTGCTCTTTCTACACTTCGACAATATTTGTACTTGAAGTGCCAACTTGTGAAACGGTGATATAAAAAGGCCAACTCACATTGCTCATTTCACTCTCATTCTCGTAATTGGAAGATGCGGGAGGGGAGGGGTGGGGGTGGGGGTGGGGGGGGGGGGTTAATATCATGACTGCAGTTGATTCAAATTCTGTAGATTAAGTTGTGAGATGACAGGAATTCTGTAGCTCGACTTTAGCCGCTTGGGGGGAGAGAGAGAATGAACATTTTCTGCTATGGTTGTTCCTTCAATGATAATGTTTGCCAGTTGTAATGAGATTGGAATTCACCCCCAATGTCGTAGAAAGCCAATTTGGCTCCTTTTTATAAACTTAAATTAACTTACTAACTCGAAACGCAGGCGATCTCTTTTGTTGTTGTACTTAGGGGTGTTATTTCACTTTTGAAACGACGATTGGAGTCATACCCTTGTATATATGCAATTTCTATAACCTAGATGTATTAACACCCATTTTTGGGATCGCACGCATTCTAAATGCACCCATGTTTAAACAAAGCGACATTTCTTCATTTCCACCTCGATAACTACTTAACCTCACTTTTGGGATTTTGCTCTTTCTTACCTTGTAGGTGAAGTCGAAGTGCCGGACGACTACACCGCGCCAAATGGGACAGGAACTCCAAGCCCTGCGCCCCCAGTTGTTTTCTCAGCACAAACAGATCGAAACAGTGGTGGTGCAGGCGTGCTGCGTACTTCTCCCGCTACCTCGACGGCATCAGCAGTAGCTCCCCAACAACTTGGTGCAAAGCGGGTCTCTTCTGGCGGGGGACCTGATTCCTCCTCCGCTCAGGTGGATTATTCTGTCCCTCCTCATCCTTCACCATCCACCAGTGTTTTGAAGAAAACTTCTCCAGTTCATCCGGTATCATCTTCTGGAGGTGGATCTGTGGTTTGGAAGCATCCACCGTATGAGAGAATTGTTCGCGGAGTGGAGTGCATTATTGTTAGGATTCGAGCGCTTCTGGATGTACGTTTTGACACGTTCTTATGATTTTCGTAACACTCAAAATTGATTTTGCCCGGAGATAATAAGTTTTTCTTAGGATTGGACCGCATCGTTTGTAAAATGTTTTAAGTCGGTTTTACAACCTTGTGTGATCGCTTCAACATTTCCTAGGCAGCCTTTATGATATTTATCATTAGCCCTTAAACTTTGACTTCAGCTTTCCCCATAGGTGGGGGGGGGTCCATATATAGCAGTTAATTAATAGCAGTTCATTACACCCATAGGTGGGGGGGGGTCCATATATAGCAGTTAATTAATAGCAGTTCATTAGCTGTTTTCTTTGTAGCAGTTAATTAATAGCAATTCATTAGCTGTCTTCTTGCGGCAGTTAATTAATAGCAGTTCATTAGCAGTCTTCTTGCTTAACAGTATCTCTGGCTTTCCGTCCTTGTCTTTAGAGCTGGATTACATTTATAGCGGTTAATTAATAGCAGTTCATTAGCAGTCTTCTTGCTTCCCCGTATCTCTGGCTTTCCGTCGTTGTCTTTAGGGCTGGACACTAATCAGGTGGGTCTTCTCCATTTCCTCATGTAGGTTACATTGGGGGCATGTGGGTTGAGTGTATACTCCCAATCTGTGAAATCAGTGTGTCTTCTCCATTTCCTCATGCAGGTTACATAGGGGGCATGGCTTCTCCATTTCCTCATGTAGGTTACATAGAGGGCATGTGAGTGTTTACTCCCAATCTGTGAAGGTGTTTTGCCAGGCAACCGTTTCCTCCTGTAGGTTACATAGGGTGCATGTGGGTTGAGTGTATACTCCTATTCTGTGAAGGTGTTTTGCCAAGCAATCGTGTTCGGTAAGTAGTCTAAATTCAGCAAGTCGGTTATGCCCGAGAGTGTCACTGTCCACTGTTTCTCCTTTATTCGAGCTTTAAGTTCGTTGCACCTTGAGGTCTTGAATTCTCTCCTGATTAAGGTCTTCATTGTGTGGAAAGACATCGGTCGGTCTATGCCTTACAAAATCGTTGTCCCCTTCTTAGCAAGTGCGTCAGCGCGTTCATTGCCTTTAATGCCACAGTGACCAGGATATAAGGCAGGAGAATCTATTATTGAACACGATTGAAAGCTGTTAACTCTAATCTCTGTTCTTGTAAAATCAACAATTCTCCATTTAAAATACTAGTAGTCTTCGTCCTCTTTAGATTGGCATAATTCCATGTGAAACTTGTCTGAATTATTTCTTCACTCGTTAAATGGAAGACTTTCCCAAATCGATATGCCTTATTGTGTAATGGTAAAGAAGAATGGCGCTATCATTCGATACTTTGAACTTGATCAGCTCCCAGATTACTCCCTCTCTTTATTTCGACCGATTTTTGAAATTATTTGTGAAATGCGAAGTTAGGAAAACTCGGTTAAGTACAATCTCTTAAAGGTAGGCTCAATCGAACTGAAAGCTCTCGAATATCTCAGTACATAGTATCCTCGAATACAAATGAACACCAATCGCTATCCCATCCCAGTTTCATGTCACGTCCCTTTTCCTCCTCTCAGTATGAGTGTTGAAGTGATCATTCTAAATAGCATCTCTCCCACTAGTGTATAGTTTTGATAAATGCTTGACGATATCATTAACAAATATGACTTTAGTTCAAATGCCATTTCGTTGCCATTTTTCAGGCTGCTAATTCAAGGCGCCTTCATGAGCAGGTTCGTTCATCTCAACTCATTCAAGCGGCAATACAAGACCTAGTGGTCCTCTTCCCTCCAATCAGCAAATGTCATCCCACAGTGGGATCAGCGCTCACCTCTCTCATGTCTAACTCCCAGAAACTGCGCCTTCACTGTGAAGCGAACGCCGAGCAAAGCGCTTCCTCCGTGAGCCCGAGGAGCGGTAATAACAGCAGTAACCAATTGATTACATTCGCTCATGAAATTGCCAGCGCTGCTAAGACTATTCTCAATTTCTTCCAAGCTGAACGACACTAATTGCGTATCTAATAGCCCCCTCCCCCCCCCCCCCCCCCCCCCCCCCCCGCCCCACCCTCCTCCCTTCCTTACCTTCTTCCAATTTCTTTTTCTGTACATATGCTTTTTATTGTCCTCCTTTTCGTGTATATTTATTGCATGAGGGTCTCTTTCACACAAATATAGTATCAGTCACATAGTACTATTATTATCATAGTAGTTTTATCGACCTGCGAACTTATATTCTCCTTTAATTATGTGCAAACTTATCTAATCTTCTAATTCTTCTTGAAATATACGTATAAAGTCGATCCAGATAACAAGGTAGCTTGTCTTTTTTAACGGGAAGCTGGTGTTATAGCGGAGGAATGAATGCGGTTAGGAGATTGAGTCTTACACCTATCAGGTGATCGAGTTGGAGAGTGCTGATTTAGGAGACTAGCTTTGGGTTGTCAGGGATGTGGGATAGACGTACCTCCCCGTGGTGCACCCTGGGCAACGTTTACTCATACGTCAAAAAAGTCTATTAACCGGCATTTGACTTCTCACTTCAAACTACCATCGCCCCCACTGTATGGCATATTCGACCCCTATGCAGTACTCATCTTACCCTTTCTGAGCCTTCGTGTCTGTCTGTTTCTTTTACATCTGTGAATCACTCTTCCATTCCTCCCGAATTCTTCTCACTTTGATGTTCCTCCTCCCCTCTGTGAGTTCCCCCTCTTGAATTTTTCTCACTTTGATGTTCCTCCCCTCTGTGAAGCCACCAGAAGTCAAATAAAGGGCTAATGATAACCATCAAAACGCTTCTATAAGGCTAATGATGCCTATCATAATACCTGCCATTTGTTATAAAATATCTATACTTTGAGTTGCCTAATAGGATTAGAACACGATGCAAAACTGGATGAGAGTAGTTGTGCATGGAGAAAGATGCCAGTGAGATGCAGTGATTGAGAAAATGATGTTGAGCGATTTGCAAGAGACCTAGTGCACACGCATGAAGTCATTTGGAGTGCGAGGGAAATCTTCCCATGGGCAATGATTCTAATAGAATGATCAACCCTCTGGTCTGTTCACATTTCGCGTTATGTAGTGGTGGTAATGCACGTGAGTGAATGTCATACTTCACTTGGTGGACAAAAAGCGAATGTTGGAATACTTCAATGACAATAAAAGAAGGTAGACATTTAAATGGAAACTTTGTTATGCTAATAAAGACTTATTTTCCGTGAAGTATACTAATCTTGCTCCTCAATCACATAAGGGATGGTTTGATGGTTCAGTCCCTTGAGAGATGTAACTATAAATACTGCGTCAATCCACGGGGGGGGGGTGGAATTATATTAAATCTAACAGTAAGTATTCATCTGAACATCAACCGAATTCAATCTTTCATTGTATTTGGGACAACTATCGAAATAACCGAAGCATTTGAGAGAAGGGGCCTCTTGCCCATTTGACCAGAATATTCTTTTAAAGTTAACTAATATTAGGTTATGAGATATTATACGGGTTGATCAAATAAAAAATGGAAAACCAACCGTGTCCTTATGGTGATGTGAGATTTTTCAAATGATTTACCTATCAGGTCAGACTGTCTAATAAGTAATTTTCTGGAAATACTTTGACTAAATATGAGTATCCTATATGGCAGCTACAATAAAAAGCTCACTCCCTTTAGAACTTGGTAAATTTAAGTATTTGATGAGAAACTCAAATTTCTAACAACAGTCCCAATAATGTGCATGCAGACACAGGAGTAGAGAAAATGTACTGTGGGAGTGATCGAATATGACATACAGTGGGGTCACAGTAGTTTGAAATCAGAAGTCAACTATCGATTTATAGACTTTTTTGCCGTATGGGTATACGCTCCCCAGGGTGCACCGCGTGGAGGTAAGTCTATAGCGCTTAGAAAGATAAACTTATTGAGTTGCGTTTAGTACTATTATATTTCTTTGCCCAGTTGTCAAAATTAATACAAATCTCCAACTTGTTAACTGGCCCTTTTTAATCAATTTAATCGTGGATTTAACTTAGAAATTAAAGTAAAATCTAATGTTCAGCCTTAACAAATACTACCATCTGCGAATAATGTAACAGTCAATGGCTTACAGCTTCTTGTTCAATTTCAGTGAACTAGAAGATTATTCATGTTTATTACACTACCACCGCCACCTCCACCCCCTAAAAACTGATTGACGTCTAATCAATATGCTCCAACTCCTTTCTCACCTTTAACAAGAAATTATTCATTAGCTGAGAGTCATTAGGGACCTAATGTAAAATACAATCGATCTTTCAAATGAAATTTATATGAATCACCCGAGTCTATTCGTGGAAAGAAAGAATAATAAACGGGATCCTCTGAAAAATCATTTTTACAATCACCTCCTATTACAGCCATACCAAGACAAAGCTCATCTGACTTCTTTTTAATGTACATTTATTGATTTTCCTCTCAACTAAGCACAATAAATGATCTAGTTGTATTAACTAAAAATCTCCGCGAATAAAAAGTGCTACGCAGATTTCTTATCCTCTTCCAATAATTGTTTGTGCATTTCACGGATGCTGGGATAGACAAAGTCAGGCGCAAGAAGAGCTGCTTGGGCAGGATCAGCCTGAACTTTCGACAGAAGTTCCTCGGAAGTAACTCCACTCAATACACAGACTGTGCCGAGACCAGCCGCTTTGCCCATTTGAATGTCTGTATCCAATCTAGTAAACAAGAGAGAGAGAGAGAGAGAGGGAAATAAAGATTTAGTTTGGACTTCAATTTAAAGTCAAGTCATTTGTACATCGTAGATCAAGGCGAATGCTTTATCATAAATTTGCACATATATATGATCCCTTTATTAATTGCCTGCCAAACACTGCACAGAAGATATTTCATTTCTAGACTGACCCAATGACCCAATCATTCTTACGTCGTCTAACCTTGGGTAAATTGAAGCTGGCAATTCAGCTACTAGAATGCGAGAGTTTTAGATGTTCAAAAAACTAAATTAGTGACATAATACTGCTGATATTTCAGTGAATAATAGGAAGCCCGAAACTAAAACTTCATCAGATTCTTATCTTACTCTACCCCCCCCCCTCCCTTGCTTCAAAACAAAAGAAGTAGGAGCTAAAAGCGTAAGAGGACGATTCAATAAAGGAATTCAGAAAACTAGCCTTCTTTAAATTGTGCAATTAATGACACTTCAAAGTAGAGTGTGCAAAAAAGAGAATAATTTTCCCACCATTTAGACAGTGAGTATGCATGGCTATTGAAAAGGTAGTTGGGAAATGATAGTTTGCATGTCTACCAAGTAAATTTGGTAATTCGTGGTATTGAGAAAAATGATTGACGAGGAGAGGGTTAAGGTTTTACCATCTATTGACATCAGAACATCGTTTCTGAGGAAGCGTAGTTTGGATGAGCTTAATTTGTATATTTAAAACTAAAAATATATAGAATTGTACCAGGCAAAGTGTTCTTAACCTATGGTGGGCTTGGTGATATAAAACAGGTAAATGTACTCACCTATCACCTACAATCACTGATGTCTTTTCCTCTGCACCATATTTCTTCTTAACGAAGTCCCAGACGGTTGTACACGGCTTTCCAAACACTATTGGCTCTACGCCTGACGCCTTTCTTACTGATGCAACCATGGCTCCAGTTCCTGAAATAACGAATAGACAATAAGCAGTTAAGAAGAATATTTAAGGCTAAGAATTAATTGGTGCATACCGGGTCTAGCAAATTCATCACAAGGCAAAAGAGCATCTTCATTAGTTGCATAGAATTTAGAACCTCGAAGAATATAACTAGTTGCCTTCATGACTTTCACGTAATTAAAATGTGGATCAAATCCAACAATAACACCCGAAACCTAGAGTAAAAGAATATAAAATTATGAAATATTGAAGAGATGCGATACGTCATCGCGTAAATGTGACGCGTCAAAGTCATCAATAGGCGTGGTATCAGGCTAAAAGGTAAGTAGTTAGAAAATAAAAAGATAAGCATACACCAGTTCCAAAATGCTCAATTCCAGCTTTATCTAATTCATTAGCGATTCCAGACTGACCCACAACATAGATAGGTCCTTTGATACCCTGCCTTGCCAGATAATTGGCCGTAATATTTGCAGTACATACAATTTCTGACTAGACATCATATTAGACACCAAATTAACAAACTAATTCAAGCGGTAAACTGAGCTTTTTGCATTTGGCTAAATAGTCTTCAACCGATCTTGTGCTATTGTTTGTAACAAGGAGAACATTTCGACCACTTTCTTTCAAATAACGAATAAATTCTATCGCTCCCGATATTATTCCCTTTGAATCCCAGAGGGTACCTAAAATATGTACAATAAAGGTGAGCAAACCATCTGCATCAAACATAAACGTCTTATAAGACTTGAGCATTTGACAACGTTTGATCCTGTTCAAAAGCAGAAATGAATCATTGACTAACGTTTTCAAATTCATGGCTATATCGGGCTACATTAAAAAAATTTGAAGGTTAAATTTCTGTTTCACTATTCAGAATACGTAAAAAACTTTTAATTTTATTAAATATTACTGATTGCTGGAAAATTAAAATTCGTAACTTACACTCAGAATGTAATTATTACATCATTGTTATCTCTGCTATGTTATAAAGAAAGCACACGGTATTATATTCCACTGAATGGAGTGTGCGATAGACTTACCTCCACGTGGTGCACCCTGGACAACGTATACCCAAAAGTCTATAACCTGGCAGTTGACTTCTGACTTCAGACTACCATCACCCCACCGTACGTCATATTCCACCACTGGCACAGTACTCATCTTACCTCTTTTAGGCCTCTTCTACCTTCGTCTTTGAAACACTCTTCTGTCCCCCCCCTTCTCGACTTTCTTTCACTTTGATATTTCTTCTCCTACGTGAAGCTTGAAGTCAACTAAAGGGCTAAGGATAACGATCAAAACGCCTGCAATTTGATATAAATAATATATTCTACTGAATTATTTCATCATCTATGGAAAACTCAATTTTAGTTAAATATATGTTATTTTTGACATAATTGTATTTCCAAATCCAATTCAATATAGTTATCAATGGCCGGAGAAAATATTTATTTATATCAAATTTCAGGCCTAATGTTACTTATCAATAACCTATTTGTTGATTTCGGGCTTCATGGTGGGTAAAAACAGACAAAATCATATAAAATGGAGAGGGAATCAGAATATTAATTCACAGATGTATAAGAGACAGACAGAGGATAAAGTTGATGTGAGTACAGTGGAAGTGAAATATGACATACAATCGGGTCATGGTTGTTTGAAGTCAAATGTCGAATGCCGATGAATAAACATTTTCCCCATGAGTAAACATTTCCGAGGGTACACCAAGTGAAGTTAAGTCTATCTCACACGCCGCGAAGACAATATTAGGTCTTGCTAATATAAAACTCTTGAACCAATTTTTACATTAATTAACGTAGCTCTTTAAACTAAGCAATGCGACTAACACATTTCGCTAGGCCCAGCGTACACAAGAATATCAGTGATTTCACTTAATCCGAAAACACCTAAGCTTGTTTGCTGTTGCAAATTTTAAAAAAGACTTATAAAGCTTAACTGTGATATTATTTTTAAAAAAAACTCAGTCATAAATTACCGTGAAGATTTTTAGTGTCATGGTTTTCACGCATATTAATAAGCATTAATGTGACGCGAGAGTGGAACCAGACAACATATATTTTTTTCAACATGCACAGCAATATGAACAAATTAATCAGATATTTTTCAATTTTGTGTTAACAAATATGACACGAAAATGTGACCTCAAATACTTGTTAATTATGTGTTTTTGGTAAACTTAAAAACATATTTATTATTAAATTATTTTAACTAAAAGGAAGTTTTTTTGGAAAAATTTTGTTTGAAGCTATCAATGCGAATTATTCTTTGCATGGTTAAATGTTAATCTTGTGATAGTTTTAAGGTCAGTCGATAATTGAGGTCACATGAGTCGCTCTGTTTTTCTATTTGTACACTGAAGGTCGTTCACCGGTAAACGGATTTAGGTGTTGTTTTCAGTCGTAACCGGTTCTTAATTTATAATTCTGGATCAAAATTCGCAATCATGGCGATAGAAGGAAAAGCAAATATAGATACCTTGCTGATTGCAGCCGAGGTTATTGAGCGTGACCATGTTAAAAGTGGTATATTGATTTTGTTTTTTCTTATTGTTGAAATTTAGTTCATTTTCAAACCAAAGACCCATTATTTCAACGTGATTCATTAATTCAAACTCCAAAAAGGAGGTTCTCAACCGCGTATGCAACGCCAATCACTCCAAACCTAGATGTAAGTGTTGTATTTTTGTTATCTAACTTACTTGCAGTTTGTTTTGACTTTTATTTAACTTTTATCAAGCAATTCATTTTGATACATATATGTATATATAATTCTAAAATTGGTAAATACAGATTTTATACGAACCCCGTAAATTTATGTTCGGACTGAGTGTTTCTAACTTTAATAAGGTAATAAAATTTAACACTTCGAGTAATTTCTTTTTATTTACGATTTGACAATCGAGATTTGTAAGTCCTAAAACTGTTTTATTTTGTTCACAATTATTAACTTATCTTAACTTTATTTTATTTTAACATCTTCCTTGTTATCTAAAATTATGGTCGTTCAAAATTACGTTATTTTGTCATGTTTTATCTCTATTACAGCTTCATGTTTTTTATGAGTCCCAAAATGGAAATATTTATTTTTTGTAATAGTTCTGGTTTCTACGAATAGAAAGCATCCATTCTTTTTCTTGTCAATAATTTAGTCGGGATATTATTGCCATTAAACTTGTTTATGTTTTTTGCCTAGTCCATTCTCTTTAAAATTGTCCATTTTTGCCCTCATATGGTTTCGATTATCATATTTTTGCCTTTAATTCAGTGAACGGACGAATCTCCCTTTGTCATACAGTTATCTTATTTTCCTGAATCTTTTTTGGTCTGATCGGACTCACCTGACTTCATTAAGCTTATTTTATAACACCCGATCTTGTCATAGTTTGTAAGCTCTAATGAATCTTATCTAATTTATATCGCCTGATCGGCTGGTTGAACGAATCGGTCAATGCCTAAGTCCCGGTATCCTTCCTTAATTCGTAATTATCTCGATAGCACTACGGCGATAAGTAATCTCTTAGCTTCTGCTTTTATCTCCCATAAAATTTGTCGTCATCTAATTACTATTAACTCCCAGGTCCTACTTTACTACAGATGCTTTAGAAAAAAATTACTAGTTCTCAAAATAAATGTGGGGATTTTTTTCGAACTTGAGGTTTCAAGCTTGAAAATTGCTAATTTGTAACCAATTGGTCCTATTACGTAAATGTTTTCTTGCACATTTCTTCCTCTCCAAATTGGTCAATTTTTCACCATCTCAAAATTTATGTATGTCATATACCTACAGGGCTTTAAAGTGTCATTTATTTTTATCTTGGGTTAAATTAAACTCAACTTTAATTTTGCTTGTCTGGTAAGCTTTATTTCGCATCGTCTTTGCAATCGTTTAGAGGAATTTTGTTTTCATCTTTTTTTAAATACTACCATTTGCATTAAATCTGATTACTTCTTGTTAATGCAGCCATTTGAGGTCTTACAAGTCCACAATATTCTATTTTGATTTAACGCATGTTGCACCTACGCTCCTAGTTGATCCTCAGTTTCCATTTTCTCCACTCTTCATTTCTTAGTTTCACTCTGCGTCTGTCTCTCCGTCTGCATCTCTGACTTCTAGTAGACGCAATTGGCTAACCACTGATCTTATAAACTCTACCACCGCAGCTTCCCAGCTTCCACAACCGTCGCAAGCAGGCAACTTTCCCAACGTCTCTGGCCTTGTTACCCTCGCAGATCTCAAAAATGTCCTCTCTGCAGCAGCAGCTGCTGCCACCACTCCTATCTCCAATACTTCCCGGTTGACCCTTGATGGCAACAGTGAAGGAAACAACTCCAATACTAACACTGGCTCAAGTAAGCACTCTCTCTCTCTCCCCTTCTTTGCTCTCTTTCAACTGTGTGTGGCAGTACCCAGGAGTGTTTTCTTTATGTGTATACCTGATTTTTGATAAGGTACTGTTGACTGTTGTTGTTGTTGTTATTGCATTAACCTTTCCTGCTTAGTCACACACACACACACACACACACACACACACA